GATTTTCATTTAGGAACCATATTCATAATAATAAAGATCATGGTAAATTTAATATGTCTCTGTATATCAGAAAAGGGATTCGGAGAACTCGGAGATATACTCCGTGGGTGCCGAATTCGATTCTTTTTTAACAAGGTATTCCTCGAATTCCCTTTGCTTTGTGTTACAGTGAAATACTTTTTATTTTAAATTTAATTATTGCCCATTCTTATGTGAGCTAAGGTCCGTTTTGATGAAATTACATTTTATATATTTTTATAACTGTTACTTTATGACCGGTATATAAACATTTATTTCGGTGTAGATACAGGATATACACGCACATAGTTATTGACCTGTGTGCAGCCGTGTATATATATATATATATATATATATATATATATATATATATATATATATATAATATTTATATTATATGATATATATATTATTTATTTACATATTTTTAGTATATTTTGGCACTGTTCATTCATCTAATACTGTTATTTACTGTAGTTAATCGTTTGTTGTTATTTATTTTATTTAAACATCTATTTTCTTTTTAATATTCTCTTTGTAATACATATTAAGTACCATTATTTTTAAATGTCTTTAGTCAACACATATTGTAATAAGTTATGTTTATAGTTATATACTAAATAGCAATGTAATGCATATAATATGCTTTTGCATGGTATATATATATATATATATATATATATATATCTGTATATATACATATTTTATATTTATATACATATTATATTTTTTTTTTCGGTTGCCACTACAGACCATGAAGATCTTTGGCCTCGAGATGTGGTCTCCTTACAAACATGTGATACTTGCGGGAGCTCAGATAGCCTGCAGGGGGTTGGTTACCCAACCTCACGTTGCTACAAACCATGGTTTCCATGAACCAGCGGCAGGCCACCCGTTGCTCCATAGCCGATCTCTTTAGGGCCAATCTGGCAATGTCCTTCCCACCGACTTTCTCGGGTTCAAGGACAGTGACAAATCGGTCTAGATCCATGGATTATAGCTGCTCGGAGTCAGCAGGCGCACGAGGGCCTATATTTCTTTCCCCGAATCAGACTTTCGATGGACCAAACCTCAGGGGGGCTATTAACATCCTGCTAAACCACATCCCGATTCCCGATTTAAGTACACGGGTTGTAGTCACATCAGTCCTACACCCGGTCGGTGTGAGTTGCCTCCGGTAGGCTGACGGGCCTCACATACCCGGGGAGGGAGAGACTCAGGCAGCATGGCTTTCCCTGGTGGACGGTCACCCAAATCGGGCGGTCATCCATCCAAGTACTAACCACGCTCGACGTTGCTTAACTTTGATTACCTATTGCAAGCGCCTTAGCCCGTACGGCTAACCCAGCCCCCGAATATATATACATATATATATATATATATATATATATATATATATATATATATATATATATATATATATATATATATATATATATATATATACGTATATTAGTATGTTAGTATATACACGGCTGCACACAGGAAAATAAAAAACAAAAACACATCCATTTTTATCCGATTTTCATTTTCTTAAATTTTATTGGCTAATCAATTACAAATAAAAACAATTTCACATGTTAATAATATTTCATACATTTATTAGTTATTTCGGTTATCGAAATATTATTTTAATAATTGACTTCTAAAAATTTTCGGTTGCCAAAGTTGCCATTCTGAGTGTTTCATATCTTCTTTTAATGACACATGCAGAATTTTTAAACGTTTAATTGTTGCGTCCTGATTGTCTACATTTGTTTTGTGCACTTCATCCTTATCTGTGTTATTATCGTCTAACATTTATTTAAAAAATACTTAGAAGTCTAGGATATGTATGAAATATTGTTTATTTGTAAAATTTAGTGTATTAGTAATTAGTCAATCAAATTAAAACTAATGAAAATCGGATAAGAACATATGATTTTTTACGACAAACCGATGACATGAATGTATATTATGTATATATATAAATTTCATGAGGGCTCGGAGATTAAAATGAGCGGAACATGTAGGTCGGGGCAAATTTATTAATATATATAGTTATTTATTATTTAATTATATAAATATATAATTATTTGTTAGTTTCTGTTTACATGTTAAATGAATTTAGTAGAATATTGACCATTAACGAATTCTTTCAACGTCCTAATTTCTTCTTGAAAATACCACAATGTTGAAACAGTTGAAAGATTCCTTTGTTCCCACATGCTGTCTGGTATCGAACGCGTTGCATTCCAACTTTTGTTCGGGTTTCGGAGACCACTGAACTCAAAGCAGCCGCTGTACCAGTTAATGTAGAGTACTTCAAAGTTCGCCTCTGCTCTAGGTCGGTCAAAGTTCGGAACGATCTGTTCAACGGTTTCCATGCCAACTATGTTTCGACAAAATTCGATGTGTTGGCCTGGTATTTGATCAGTACCGCGCTAGTATTTTGACAAAAATATACGGAGAGTTTCCTTCAAAGATGTGATTAATATCCATCACACTATAGAATATTAGAAGAAAGAACTTCGTGATAAAAACGTTTAAGTTAGCTAAAGTTAGGTTCAAAATTATTTTTGTTTAATCCACTTGAAAAATGATTTTTCAACTGTGGTAAGTAAATTCTTAAACTGTTTAAGTGAAAAAAAAACAAAAAAAACGATTCTATGTATAACGTGACTGTCGCCCGTCCTACAATAGCTTTTCGTACATTACAGTTATGCGAAACACCATCCTTTTATCTTAATTTTCCTGAACTTCCTTACTTTCTCTGCGGTCGGTAATGTCTCCATCCTTCGTTACTTGAACGTGCCAATATTGATTTATTAGTAAATCCGTACTTTAAAAATGTAACATAATCCAAAATATTTTATATATATATTTACGTACGTTCATTGAATTAAAAAAAAATCTGGTGTGGGGCGCGTATCACATAACTTTCACTTACCAATCTCAGAAAAGATAGGTATTTTCATATATAAGGGTGTCAATCGGATCTATTAAAAAATTAACAGTTGCCTGAAGGTATAAATATATGTTTTTATAATATTCTTCAGTTACGGCTGTGTTAGTATCAAACAATCATGGGTACCCATAGCCCCTAAGGTCGATGGTGCAAGAACCTATCCTCTCCACCCCCAAGATATTCCATTGCTCTTTTCTTAAAAACAGAGTGTAGCGGCAACTGGTTCCCGCCTCTTGCTACAGGGGACAACTAGTTCGTCTACCCGCTATCTGGCAGCGCCATACAAGCTCGGCTGAAAATAAACCAAAAATTATATTTTTATTTCTTATTTTTATATGATAAAATACTCGAATTGTAAATTGAATTATGTATACACATTGTAAATACTTTTTTTATTAATAAAGTTTAATGTCGATAACATATACTGATCAAAGCTTAAAAATACTGTTATTGTAACGGCTCTTGATATCCGATTTAGTCTTGGCGGAATAAATACCGCAGTCATATCTCCAATTGGTAAGTCTTAGGATCTCCACCCCTTCAGGGTGTAGACATTCACGCAGTTCGTCAGTATATGAATCGTATACTCTTTTTGGTCTTCAGCAAACTGCATTTTATTTCACAATACACAAAAACCTTTTTCCCCTTCTCTTACTCCATGCAAGTTGGATGCTGACCCAATCGCTTGCAGTCCTATATACTAAGCCACGAGATTGATCCTTCCGTTAGTATTTCATCCTCCCACAAGCACGGAGTTTGATCCCTTCGCTTGTGATTACCATTCTTGTGGAGTGTCAAGCTTGATCTCTTACACCGCAGACTGAGAGTGATTGGGTGCTGATCAGCCTGTCACTTGAGGTCATCCTTCTTTTCATCTTCCTTCATCCACTTGGCATCATCTTACACTCTAAATACTGAACACGCACTGTCGAAGCCTTCTGGTAACTGTATATATCCTCTGTGTACCTCGACAAGAGTAAGCGAAAGTAGAATTAGAAAAATCGTAGTTCATAAGTTTATTTTATTGTATTTATTTTTATTTTATTTTATTGTATTTATTTTTATTTTATTTTATTGTATTTATTTTTATTTTATTTTATTGTATTTATTATTATTAAGTTTCTGTGTTATTTATTTATTTTTATTGTAAATAGAGTGTGAGTGTGCTCTCTGAGCACTATTATAAATATCCTTGATGTGACAGAATGTAATATTTCTAAAAAACAAATATTAAAAAAAATATATTTTTTTCATAAGAAATGATTATATTTTACCATTATACGAAGGAGGGGGAGGCTTCAACCCAAAAGCCCCCCACCCTCGTAGATCCGCCCGTGCAAACACCCACAGATACACCCAAACAAGTTCGTGGAACATGGTTATTTGGACTCAGGGGACCTTAAAACAAATATTTTTGTTAAAAATCTCAAATTTTAAAATGTTCACTATCGCAATACTTCCTCTTACTATATATTACACATATAGGTAAGGGAAGTAAAAAACTCACAATTTATAATCCAGAATAAAAAAATGAACAAAACCAAAATATTAAAAAAAAACTTACACCAGAAAAAAAATATTACAGGACAGTAAAGGTGGTAATTTAATGGGACTTCCTTATTTCGAAGCTACATGAATGTTGAGCCATTCTTATCCCATTCTTCAGCTAACTTGAACAGTTCTCATTATTAATTCTTATTATCATTAACTGTTCTCATAAAATTGTGACGATTACTATAAATTGTTTAAAATCTGATTTCTATATACTTCAATATTTCACTAAAGATAATCATCCTATGGATTATATGTTACAATATATGCTAATCCTTATTGATAAACGGCTCACGATTTGCGATTAATTGGCTACCTTGACTCTGAATCGAAATAATTTTAGGAGAATCAAATACAATATTAGGATGTAAATCAATATTTCTAACCAACCGTAAATTAAATCTACAAAGATGTAAATTCTAAAAATAGGAGTCGGTGATGATCTTTAATTCCTAAGATTTAATAAGTATAAAAAAAATCTTATGCTTGTACATCACATTTCAAATTCCACACCAAAAACAATAACATTTAAAACATTTACGCTCTCTGTTCTCGAGCGATAACAGCAGATAAAACATACAAATGCGTTTAATTATTTATTGAGAAACCTTTATTCTGATAAAGAATGTAAATAAGCATTTTGTAAATGAATCGATAACAACTAATTTCCTTTAAATTATCGTAATTGTGACACTTCTTGTAACAGTTACACAGTTGTATTGGCGTAATATATACTTTCAAAGTATCTCCATTTAATAAAAAACAAGTATGTATCGAAATATGAAATATTATACTTATTGAGTAACAAAATGTAATATTTATATTTTTGTCTGGTGTCTGTAGATGAATACATCGATATTAAAATTTGAATATCGGAAACAGAAATTAACTCGGTTGAGTTAATAAAAATAAGATTGTTTTTAAACAGGATTCCTAGGAAATACTAGTGCAATATTTTTTTCTCATTAATCCCTGGTTATAGCGCTTCTGATCAGCCTCTAAAGGTCCTTAATACCAGTAATGCGGCTGAGTGAGAGAAGCTGGGTGGGATCTTCTAGAGTCCTGCTTTTCCTTTAACAAGTGGGGAGAAAGACTTGGCTCGGAAATCTTGAGTGAATAATTGTTTTTTTTTTTTTATTTATTGTATAGAACCATGTGTGTATGCGGTTAGTTATTTTTATTAGTTTAGTTTATTTTTGTTTAGTTTAGTTTACATACATTTACTTTTAGTATTATTGTTTTTATGCATTATTTGTTTTTATTTATTGTACATACAGTGTTAATGTGTTCTCAGAACACTATTATAAATGTCCTTAATTGGGACAGATTGCAATATCTCTCAATAAACAGGTTTTAAAAAAATTAATAAAAATAAAAGAATTCCTGGAATTTTGTAATTTGATTTATACTCAATACTTTACAATTTTATTCATAAAAATTATTCCTCTATTTACATAGGTTCTGGTGGTTTCAGTTCTTCTGTGTTATTCCTAGTTTACCAATCCGTTTCTTTTAGAGTTTATATATATATATATATATATATATTATTTGAATTTTAAGTTTAAAAAATTGTAAAATCCTCAATGCTTCTTACTTTGTTACAAATAAAATCAATGAGCTTAATGTTACTCATGTTTCTGGGTTGGCTCAATCCAGATATCTATGGTTCCATAATAAACTTCAGAACCACCCCTACCCTAATATTTCTGACCTTGCTTCCTCTTCAACTCCTGATAACCCCCCGAGGTGAATGAAAAGAAGATGGCACCGTGATCTCCTAATATAGAAATATTATTAGAGTGTAGTTTCTCAAAGGGTAGTTTCTCAACAAGTTTTTTTCATTGTATAAATTTGTACAAATTTATTAGATATATTTGTTACACAGTAGTAAATATCATGAATAGATAATAAAAGGAAGTTAAGATAATAAAAATTATTTAGTGCGATCGGTTATAGAGCATTAAAAGTATATTGTGTTAAAAGTATTGTATAGAATAAAAGTGATAAAACCTCAAGTATATTATGTACCTATACAAAATACGAACTCAAGACAATTAGGTAATACCTTAAAATGGGGTAACTTTGAGACTGGGTCGGTAACTTTGGAACAGCAGGTTAAATTTAGTCGGGGTTATTTAGTGGTGGATAGACTGTGTTGGTTCAGTCTGTAAAAACGTGCTTCGTTCACTACAGTTCACTGCACTCGTTGTGCAGTTAGGTATTATTTATTTCCATTGTTTATTTCAAAATTCTTCTTTTCATGACATTTTCGCTTGTGCCGCAAGGTAGTAACGCAGTACATGCGTTGTTCATATTGACTAAACCAACAGTGTATTCACCACGAGAATCACCACAAATTAAATTTCACCCGCTGTCCCAAAGTTACCCTATCTTATGGTATAAATTTTAACGATTCTGTGCTTGCTTTAACGACTCTTATTTATCAATCTGAAAAGAAATTTAGTTTTACATGGAACCTACATTTATTTTTTTTATAAACGTTTATTTACCATCCAATAATATGTTTATATATTATTAACAACACAACTCGTCATCTTCTACGAGACTATGTGTTCGATTTTCGTATAAATCATACATTTCAAGAATCTATTGATATTTCAAAAACTTTTTTTTTTCGACTGGCGAAAATATTTCTTCCCTTTTATCCTGAAGTTTAATATCAATTTCTTTCGTGTTCCATATTTTGTATTAATTTCAACATAGAGGATACCTTCAATTATTTTTAATTAGAAAAAAATTAAAAATACTTAAGAGGAATAAATTTTAAAAATTTAGCATTTCAACTTACATTATATTAAGAACATTTAGTTTTAAATCGATATGATGAGTTTATTCCAAATTGTGAAAATCGTTTTCAATAACATTGTACAAACTTTGTAAAATCGATGGTATAAAATGCCATTTCTGGTAAATTTATTTTGACGTAAAAGTTTCTCCAACATCTCAGGCGTATATTCATACCCATCATGCGTATTCGTAAAAAAAATGCGATTTTTTTTTTTGTTGGAACTATACTCTTTACATACACACAGATGGTTTTGCTGGAGTTGGTAATCTGGTCTCAGAAGGAAGTTATTTGGAAATATCAAGATGGAACCCATATTCGAAATTTATCATAATCGTAATGCTTTCCCTTGTCATATATTTCATATACGGGTAAGTAAAAGTAATAATGTGATAGCTATTATTATAATCCATAAAGGTTCTAGGTTTAGATAGGTGAAAGAACCGTTTCTTGACTAATGTTTGTGAATAAATTTAATTGAGAGGGAGAAAAGTAAATTCTATTCTCGGACATTAGTCCCTTAAGAATAATACCAATGAACAATCGAAGTGTCGGAATTGAAATTACATATAAAAAATAATTAAATCTCAGAATTTTTTAACCTTAAAATTAAAATAAAAGATAAGCATAAATGAACAAACTAAGTTATAGACAAATAAATATCAGTATTTTTACATATTCGCAATGATAAGTTATATATTATAGATAAGCAAATCTATAAGAAGGAATATACAAGTTTGTGGGCTGAGATCTCAGGTTTAAAAGAATGGACAAAGGTACAAGGAGTAAACAAATCAAGCCATTGGAAAACTGAATAGAGCCATTAGCCCAGTCAAATTAGCCATGTTGCCTTAAAAAAGGTCCAATAAGTCAAATTTCTTCTTTTTTTTTTTTTTTTTTTTGTTAGTTATGAAGTGAATATAAAAAATTGAAGTTTCCGCCTTTGAATGCTTTGTGGGTTCGTTGCAGTGCTCCAAAAACCATTGCAATTTCTACCTTTTTTTAATTTATGCTAAATATCTCCTTTTTATAACGGCATAGATAGAAAATGATTAAGTTCAGTTTTAAACAGCTTAAAAATATCTGACCTTTTTGTACAGAACATTTTTTCCCAAACCCAACAGGAAGCGAATTATCGAAGCTTTCAAAATTCACCCATTTCGATTTCTTCAAAATAGTGCTCTCTCGATTTTAAACGAAAGGATTCTGTAACTTAATTTTGAACCTCGTACAGAGAATTTGAAGGTTTTCTTAAGGATAATGAGCCATTGACTGGAACGGTATGTTAGTCGGGAGGTGTTTTGAAAAGTACACGATGGGCCCAGACTCTCTTAACGTGCATCCTCCTCCCCACATCCCAATAAATTGCATATAGTTGTGTTACTTGACTTACTATATAAAAAAAACAAAAAAAAAACAATATTCTAATAAAAGCAAGTGGCCCCACTTGTTATTTTAGAAAAACATGTTTCCTATAAAAGCTGTATTAAATTGTATTTGCTTTAATATTTAATTTTAAAAAATGGAGCTAAGTCGCCTATCAAACAGATTATTATTTAAAAACAAAGAATTATATTTTTTTGCTAATTTTCAAAACTTGACGCATTTTGAAAACTAAATACGCCGCTTCCTGTTGAGTTTAGAAAAAAATGTTAGATAATTTTATTTTATTTTTTATTATTATTTATGAAATTTACAACTGTACAAATTAATGTACATTCAGCAAATGTGATATAGATAAATAAATAACATGACAAGGCTTGTAGAGAATCTACTCATTATTAGCACTCTAATAAAGTTTCTAAATTAGGAGATCATGAGGGGCCATCTTATTTTCAAACGCCTAGGAGGGTTACCAGAGATCGAGGAAGAAGCAAGGTTAGAAATGAGAGAATTAAGATGGTTCTGAAGTTTATTAAGGAAGGATAGGTATCTGGATTGGGCCAAATTGGAAACATATGGAACATTCAGGTCATTATGGATTATTTTATTTGTTACAATGTAAGGAGCATTAAGGATTTTACGAAGAATTTAAAGATTGGATACGAGAGAAATTCGATGGTTTAGTGGAGACCCAGAGCTCAACTCCGTAAGTCCAAATAGGTCTTATTATGGTTATGTAAGTCTTTTATAATTAATTAAAAAGTTAGAGCGTTTGTCTAGGAAGTGCTGAAGAAAGCGGAAACGTCGAGCGGTTTCTTTTCGTTTCAGTCTGGTATGAATGAGCATTCCAAGTTGAACGTTTGTCCAAGATAATTTCAAGCTGTTCAAAATTAAATATAACCATTTTTTATCTATCTCGCTTTAAAAGGGACATTTTTAGCGTAAACCAAAAAATGTTCGAAATTTTAATGGTTTTTGGAGCACTGCAGCGAACCCACAAGGCTTTCAATGGCGGAAACGTGGATTTTTTATATTCCCTACATACGTTAAAAGAAAGAAATTTGAATTACTAGGTAGACCCCTTTTTTGTGCTAATTTGACTCATACCAATTGGAAATGTGGAGGCGCCTGGGGATTCCGATGATGAATTAAGCAAATTATTAGTCAATTAGGTTCAACCTCCACATTTTTATCATGTAAGGATCATTTCATTGAGGGACCAAAAATAGTCTCTCGCCTCCAAAAGGTATCATCGGCAAAAATTATATAAAATAATGTTTCTACCAGAACTGAAATTGAGGTCTTGTATTTAAGTTTAGTTAGACTATTAGTTTAGTCCATGATTTAAAATGATTATAAATATAAATAAAAATTGTTGCAGCTCCGGAGGTTTTTGGGTGCGCGATGGACGAGTGCGCTGGGTATACGTTCGCGGTTGACTGGTGGTCGCTGGGGGTGACCCTCTACGAAGTCCTGGCGAGGAGCAGGCCTTTCGACATACACAGCGGCACCAGCATACCCCACATCAAGTCTCTCTTCGTCAGCCCCGTCCACTACCCTTCCAAGTGGAACAAGGAGGTCATCCACCTCTTCAACAAGGTAAGTTATTCAAACTTGGATAAGAATAAAGTAATAAGTATCTGAAAGATGACGTCTCCAATAACCTTAATAAAAGTCTAGTGTATATTTTAATCTTCCTGAGATTTTTGTTTTGACACCCCGATGATTAGAAAATTTTAGTGTAAATTCACTCAGAGAAATTCTCTTTTTAGATAAAGAAAATTCTCTACCAAAGACAGTACAGCTCCCTCAACATTTTCAGTGGATACACGTAATTCATTTTTTTTTCTCATACCCCCAGTTTCTTTGATATTTTGTTTCTTCAATTTTCTGTAGGATATTCCTTGTGCTGTATCTCAGATACATTAAAAGGTGATTCAGAGCAATTCCTCAGTTCTGTTAATCTTTTTTTTTTTATTGCCAATCAGGATGTTCGAGCTCACCTCTATCTTGATAATATAATTCATATATTTCAAAGTTTATAATATTTCATTTGAGAATAAATTCGACGAGAAAGGGCATTGTCGAATAAATTCCTCAACATTTGCGAGGTCGATATGAGAGAGTTTTGACGCTCTGTGAATAGAAAAGTGTGAAAAAGTTCCACATTCGCGTATTCCCTATATGACTATCCGTAATTTTTAAAAAAATACAAAACTAAACGACAACCAGTACAGTATGTATGTAGATATTAACATATATACTTATCATTTCTCTAGTAAAATAGAGACAAAAGGCCATTGAAAAAATACAACTTTTTGTTTATCCGGTGTTAACGAAACTCATTCAAATTGTCAGAATAAAACCATTTTAAGGAGGAATATAGAAATATGAATCCTATAATTCATTTCATTCGAGATTGGTGCAATTTCTATTGAAAAAAAAAAAACCTGACAAACGTCAAGGTATTACGGTGTACATAGTCTAGTCAAGGAAAGGCTTACGTAAAAGAATTGGATGGGAATCGGTAAAATCTATAGTGGACCATATCAGATTCAACCCTACCAATAATTAAAATCACATCAACAACAGACTACAGTTTAAATTAAAGTTTTGAATATAGTCTGAAATTTATGGTATAAAATTAACATCCCTTTCCATATGTTCAGTGGCTACCACATTTCACAACAATCATATTCTCAATAGTTAAGTATATTAATTTTAATAAATAAATGAAATTTAATGAAACAATTTGTACACTATTCTCCAATTTTAGGACATATCGAACGAACCGTTTTCGAGTCCAAAAACAGGTTCGGAATTGAAAATTTATGAAATTGGTGAATAGAATTTGTCTATTCCTAACTTCCTTTCAACTTTGCGACAAATCAAACAGGCGGTTTTTGAGATATAGGTATATCTAAGAAAATATTCATTGGTATGGGACTACCTAGAAACCAACCCAAACAATCCCTGAAAATATCGTGAAATATGGATAAACGGTAGTGGAAGATTTACTCGTCACACCAATTTAATTGCAGGCAGGCGCCGAACTAAATTTAAACCTTAATCTCTGAAACATAAAACGTATTTGGAAATTTTTGATTCTGAGCATATGATCTTTCTTTTTTGCCTCTCGCACGAATAACTAGCTTCCCTACCTTCAGTAGCGAGGAAGCAAAATGTTTCTGCGTTCAGGTGAGATAAAAAAAGACATTGGAATTGTATAAAAGGTTTGCGGAATACTTCAAGTTGGTAAGTATTTAAACAGCGACAGATAAAACTGGATCTAAATTGTTGAGAAAAGGACTCGATGTTGACCCTCTCGAAAGGTGTGCACACAAATCATCGGATGTTTGATAAATGATAATAGGGGATCATAGGACAATGACAGAATGATTTTTTTTCGAGCGGGGCTAATGTGTATTAAAAACACGCGCTGCCCGACAACCTGATAAACCAAAGATCACGAATTCGAATCCCGTTGCTGGGGAGACTTTTAACTCTGGTATTAATTTTCCGCCCACTCCCCACTCCCAAAATATTAATAATAATATATTAACTGGTACGAATTTTAATATTAGTAGAAATATATTATTTAATTAGATCGATAAGTGAAATTTGTGTGATGCCAGCCAGACCAGATTTTTTTAAATATAATACATAAAGGTCGTATATAACCATTTTTTATGTTAATTCTATTTGTGCTAAAGGTGACATTTCGTTGTATCCAACTGCAATAAATAGTCTGCTACTATGCAAAATAGTATAGGAAAATAAAATATGAAATTATTCTAATAAATCATAAAGAAATAATCAGTTTTTTCTTCTGTAAAAAAAAAATCAATTTTTGCATACGATCTTTTGCACAAACAACAGCGATGTGTCATTCTCAACAATTAAATGAATTTATCATTTTGTCACTCCCGGGCTTCTTTATGAATATTTACATATTGAACAATTAATTTTGTTAACCTGAAATCTAGCTACTTTATCAAATTATTTTCCTCTTGTGTAAACTCGTGTGATATTTCTCATCCAGGGATCTCTGGATAATACTTTAATCATATTCTTTAATTGAAATATCATCTGCATTATGTGTAAATAACATTTATCAATTTAATTTTGATAAATACAATATTTTGCTTTCAATGTTTTAATGACAGCAGTTTCATTGCATTTTAACTGATAAAATAATCCACTTCTGTTTAATAATTGATCTCTTCATTAGATTTAAACTTCTTCTCAGTTTTCCTCAATTTGCCAAGTGAAATAAAATTATGTGATTTCTCAGTATTTACTGTAAAAAAAATCTGTATGTCTAGTTTCCAACTCAAACTCTAATTTAGAATTTATGTAAGTTGAAACCATACAAGGAGCAGAATAAACATAAATGCGGGAAGCTCATATTATGAATATCCATGTCCAAGAAAAAAGAGAAATTACAAACGTATAACCAATAAAATTAAAAAGTTATTTAGATTCGGAACTGGCTGGACTTTAGTACACAGAAATAGGAAAGCGCGGTTTCTCTTCGGATTCGTGTTTTAGAGGAAAGAGAAAAGCATGATACACCAGTTCCTAAGGGTAGGTTAATTGAAAAGGAGATGGAGTCGCACGAAATGGGCTCTTCCAGTAATTCATCACTACCAAATGTCTTGTAGAAATACAGTTGGCACAGAATTTTTACTTGTCCTTCCTCTCTAAAAATTTTGCGCACGCGGGAAATTGTTTTTTGTTCTCAGAATCAAAAATTTCCACCTCGTTGCAGCTTCTTCTCTTCTTCCCAGACAGAAGTTGGTTTGTGTGACGATTCCTTTCCAAGCTTTGTGAGAAGATTCCTTTCTGGATATGAAGGTCTTAAAGTACGAGTAGATCTCTCTCCGTTAGAATATAGATTCCTACCTCTCTTAACAGTTTCTCCCTCAGTTCTTCATAGGTGGTTAGTACAATATGCTCAGCGGCCACCTAAATCCTCACAACTTGGACATAGAGAATCGATGTTTACACCACACACAATAAGCGTCGCTCAATAACCTCCATGGCCTGTGAGAACTGTGAGATCGATAGTCTGGGAAGACCTAATCGCTTCTGATCTCGATTCGACGGTTAATTTTCATTGTATGTATTTTAGAGGCAACTCATAGCTAACGGTTTTATATCATGGTGATAAAAGTTTTTGTTATTGTTATTTAGAAAGAAAATTTAATTTTAATAAAGCTATCGGTACTTTTTGTCTAAGCGGCCGTTTTGAAACCTCACTTCTTATCTTATCTAACGTCATGTCATCATGTCACATAACCTCCCTCTTCTTAACCCGCCAAACCTTTGAGTTATTGCATTGCTTAGTTTTCAGTTATTCCCTTATTACGTTCACTTATTAAATTGTTTACTTTTGGCCTGTTTGTGTTTATTTTACTTTTTTTTTTTAGTTTGTGACCCCTTGGTGTTTATTTTCCATTTTTTTTTTTTCGTTTTTTTTCGTCATATTATGGATCTTCTTAGAATATGGGATTTACCGTCTTCAAAAGAACAGGCAATTCAGTATTTTCAAAATGTTGGGGTACTTGCTGGCTTATCATTAGTGGATGTTTGGTGGAGTTTGCCGAGAAACAGATGAATGTTTTATCGTCAAAATAATTGACAGAAAGACAACAACATTATTACAAGCCATTAAAGAAAATCTAGAAGAGGGAACGACCATTTATTCGGACTGTTGGAAAGGATACAACACTCGACAACTGAACGAAGCAAACTATGACCATTTCCAAGTGAATCACCGGTATAATTTTGTCGATCCATCAACTGGGGTTCATACTCAACCCATTGAACGATTGTGGGGTTCAGGTAAGTGGAGAAATAAAGTACATAGAGGAACTGCCAGACAACACCACGATTCATATTTGTGCAAATTTTTGTGGTGGCGGGTTCACAGAAAAGAGGACCCGTTCCTCGCTATTTTAAGTAGCATAAAACAATTTTGCCTTCCAAAATAAATAAGACAAAAGGAAGTGAATAATTAACTTAAAATAATTTGTATATACGTTGTTTATAGTGTTGATATTTTTTATTTTCTATGTAAATATGTTCTTTTAAATTTGTTTTTTTTAAATTTCATTTTGATGTTTTATATGTACATATCTTCTTAAAGTGTTTTTTTATTATTTCATTAATATATTTGTCGTCAAATAAAAGTATTTTTGTTGTTATTACATTTCTTTTTGTATCTGTTTACACTTTCAATAATACGAATTTAATACAATAATAAGAAGATGTGAAGTAGGAGAAGGTTGTATCACTGCGTTATGGGAGCTATCAGTGTTCAGGTTATGAACATTGGCAGATAGCAGTCAGTAGCGGCCGCTTAGACAAAAAGTACCAAGCTATCTATCTTTTTTTTCTGTGGTCTTAAACGATATTTATTGGGATCTACCTAATAAATATTGAGGATAATTAACCATAAATATTTATATCATGAAAAATAAATACAAAATATTGTAATATGTGATATAATATTTGATCGAAGCTCAATTGGACTACCTTTCCAAAGGTTTGCTTTGTGTTTTTCAGCTTTCCGATTAGGTGCATTACCTATATTAATTATGGAGTACATGTGTAGCAGAAATTAACAAGGATCTTATTAAAAAACTCAATTTATTCATTTAACATATACTCAATAAAGGAGTGGTGATACGTTTATAAAAAGATGAAGACACAAGTTAAGGTTAAAGTATTACTCTAAATAAATGTATGATGAGCAGGAATGGAATTATTAACTCAAAATATTTTAACATTAATTTGCTATTACTTTAGAAAAAATATTTAATATGATAGATTAAACTTAGCTGACGCGATTATAAATATACTGGAGTTGTTCATCTGCGTGAAGAGCCGTCTATACTTTTGATAGCCTCCACCTGACCCCATCTTCTGGTCTGGTGTCGTCTCCTGTAGTCAAAGAAAAGTACAGAGAGTGGGAGGTGTCATTGTTAAAAGAAGGCCATGTCATAAATGTCAAGAAGTGAAAAGAAGCCCATTTTCTCCACCTCTAGGGAAATTTACACTCTCATTCATCCCTTCCTCCACTCATCCACAAAGAGGGGAAGATTATTTTTTATTCTTCTTCAAATTTTGCATAGGAAGATGTTCCGACTCCCTCTTCTTCCAGTAGACTTTCTTAAAACTTCTAAACTTGGCCCAACCTATCTTTGTTGTTTTTTCTTCCTCTTCTTTCCCTTTTCTCGGGAATGGGGAGAGGGCCGGATTAATGCCAGAGTTAAAAGCCTCCCCCTCTCCCTCCCTTCCGAACTCGTAATTATTTTATCAAGTAATATTCAGTTTATCCGATTAGGTGTGTTTTGCACACGCGTTGGCTCGCTTGGCCTCCTCGCACCCACACCCTATCGGTGGCTGGAAACAGGAAGTTATTTTCCAACTCAGCTCTTCCTTGAATGGCTAATAATAGCGAGTTATTAGACCTTCCTAGAACTCCAGGTGTTCCCTTTGCCTAATTTTATTTTGACTGACCCGTGGCATTGTCAATTATCGGACTTTCCTCGGGAAGGCTAAACTTTCCAAATGCATGTTAACTTAGTTAATTTGGTTTTGTTAAAAGCTTCCTCGAATGAAAATATTGCTCATGTGGCTATCTTCTTTCAACAAACTGGGAAGTCTCCTAATTCAATTTGCTCCGTTTTTTTAAACTTTCAATCTAGTAGCTGAGGTGAGTTATGTCAACCATAATGACTTTTTTCTGATGTTTGGCAGGTACACCTTTTCCTCCCTAATCGCTCTTCTGTATCTTTATATTATTACATTTTATACTTATTTGATTTAAAGCCTGATAAACAGCAGTTTGTAGCTCAGTCATTGTTGATAAATGGCCATTCATTATTTTATTATATTATATTTACTTATTGTTATTCTTAAGATATGAATTATAATGTTTATCCTATGGGCAGCTGCTGTGTACAGCTCCTGGGGCGAGGATAAGCAGCCTTGCCGAACTGCGACAGGTCCCTGTCCTGAAGAAGGTGGACTTCGCCATGGTCTTCGAAAAGCAGGTCCAACCTAACTTCAATCCTCCGGTGATTATCGATTATGTTATCTATTGATTTGATTTATTCAATTGACATTATTTTCTTTAATTTTATAATATTTATCAGTTATTCTATGTAAACCAAAGGGATTCGAAAGAAATCTATACACCGATGTTATAGCCGTATCAATGCAAATGTAATCATGAAATGACATTACGTGGTAACGCACATTGAAAAGACCAGATCACAAGATTAATGAAATCCATGCATGTTATATTTATAAGGGCGTAGCCTGAAATAGTGAGACCCAAGTGAAATCTTGAATATGACTGTCTTATTCAGTAAGAGATGAGGACCGGATGTCAGGAAATCACTTCAGGAAACAAATGAGGCTTTGTTGAAAAACATTATACTGTAAAAACATAAAACACTTGTATTTCTCTACATAAATATCACACTATCAGGAACAAAGGACTACTATATTCTCTGGGTAACCTCACCCAAGCCAACCTGATTTGTTTACAACAGTTCAGCACTGCTACCAGATAACATGCATTAACTGTACACACTCTCACCTTTACAATTTACGATTTAAATTGTAAACTGGTTTAAAATAACGAAACAAAATTTAAAATATTCAATACAAAAATTTACAGGTTAAATCATTATTTTAATAACACTTCATAAACTACTTAACAAATGTTTTCTGCTTCCTTTTTTAGTCTTGATAAGATCACTGGCTAATAACATTCCGAGATACACTACTCTTCTTAGCTGTTTTTTTTTTTCTTCTCTTCTAGTTTTGGGAAACTTCTTTAGAGGAAAAAGAAGAATTATTCGTACCACCATTTGTTATTTGTACTCCTCTCCTTGTGCCTTTCTGACTAAGATGTGGTTCTGAAGGGGACCTTTGGCTGATGGCAGATCTGATACTATCTCTTGTGATGTTCCTCGAAAGATTGTTTTGAGCTGAAGCTGTTGCAGATGGTTTTACTTTTAGGAGTTGTATGACGAGTGGAATTGTCTTAACTGGTACTCATCTGGTCTTCTCGGTAGTGCCATCATCTAGACGACTTCTTTGTAAACAATTATAATGGGTCGAAGATATTCCAGCTTGTCCTGAATGGTGAGACTCACTTGCACTAGAGTCGAAGTGCTGTAAAAAGACTCCCTCTCGTAGGTCTTCTTGGCGTAGAACAGGACTGTGTTTTAGTTTGGCCAATAACTTTCAAACCTAGTTTCTGCTGCTATCAAATTTTCAGTTATTGGTTCTAACCTTCTTGTCAGGTTTTGTCCTATGACATCTGCTGCAAGAATCAACTCTACTTCTTGCTTGACTCTCCCATCATCACCATCGCTCCATGTTATATTCTTTTTTTCTAATATCTATAGGCATTCATCATTTGATCTAGGAACATCACTGCAAATTTTTATATTTTCCAACTTCACTTCACCAGAAAATTTACCAGTTAAATTTTCAAGTTTGACATCGTGTGCAACTTGATTTGTTTCAACATCCCCAAAAAGGTTATATGAAAGTATTTCTTCCTTTTTTATCTTTAATTCCTCTATTGAAGAACTAATAGTTGCTGAAATATCATCATCATGCCAAGTTTTATTAGAATTTCCAACCCAAGCATGAAATTTAGATTTTATTTCTCTCCACTTTCCCTAATAACTTATGGATGTATCAAATTCATTCTCCAGTTCTTTTTCATCAATGTTTTCATAAACTAGTATCAAAGCTCTTACTTTTTTCTCAAACTCTAATAGATGTTTAGCTCTTACTTCTATTTTTCTAAATTCCTTTTTGAACTGAGGATCATTTTCAGCTATTTTCTTTTCAACAGAAGTAGCTAAAGTTGTAAATAAATTTCTTCACTGAGCTCTTTCTAATTTGGCAGTTTTCAACACTTCAGCACTTATTATCCTTATTTTCCCACACTTGCTACTATTTAATATTAGGAAAAACCTTCAGGAAACAAATGAGGCTTTGTTAACAATTTGGCAGTTTTCAACTCTTCAGTACTCATTATCCATACTTCCCCATAAGGGATTCCACTATGTGATGTCAGGAAATCACTTCAGGAAACAAATGAGGCTTTGTTGAAAAACTTAATTGCTAAAGCAGCAAAACTGAAGGTCCAATTCAAGGTCCAATCTTGCAACTTAATCTACTCAACCTGAATTAACAGAGTCTACTGTTCCTGGAAATATTGAGCTGTTTGTATAACGCTGCTCGGTCGTGACGGCCAAGCGTATTAGTGCCTTTCGCTCAGTTAACATGGAGTGAGGTGATAAAGAAAACTGAACACTTTTAAACCTTTGGGTATTAGCCGTATGTTCGTGTGCAGCTCTATAAATAGATATAATGAGACCCTATCTGTATGTGACACACCTCGACCGGACCGTTCTCAAACTGTGAGAACGGCAAATGCAGTGAGAGCAGTGGCTGCTTGAATAGGAAGAAATCTCATTCGAAAACCACAAATCATCATGTCTCAGAAAATAGGAATCTCTGCCAGATCAACGTCTCGCATAATAAAAAGTGACCTTAGGATGTCATTGGGTTTTCCAGCAGGATTCTGCTCCAACTCACAAGACCAGGTCAACTCAGCAGTGGCTGCAAAAGAACATTTTAGAGTTCATCTATGCCTTGGATCAGACCTCAGGAAGCCCTGATATCAACCCAATAGATTATCGGCTTAGGTCCGAAGTGGAGAGGACGGCATGCCACAGAGCACACCCTAACTTGGAAAGCCTCAAAAATTATCTGGTCCAAGCAGTTGAGCGGAAGGAGATCAAACAGAATGCGCTAACTATCGAGGAATCTCACTCCTTTCGTGTGCTTATAAGCTGCTCTCTAACATTCTTTTTGGAATGGAGAGGATTCTCCCGAATTCTGAAAAGGAACTGGGGAAATATCAGGCTGGATTTCGAACAGGACGCTCAACCACTGATCAACTGTTCTCTCTGAGGATGATCCTAGAAAAGACTATGGAGCGTAAGGTAGTCACCCACCATTTATTCCTAGACTTTAAAGCAGCATACGACAGCGTTGATAGAACGCAACTATACTGTGCCTTGCTCGTACGCCTAATCAAGATGACCATGGACAGCTCGAGATGTAGAATACGCGTCGGTTCTGACGACTCTGAAGAGTTTAAAGTGAGCAGTGGGTTAGGCAAGGGGATGCCCTCGCCTGTCTATTGTTCAACTTGGCAGAGGAGAAAGCTATAAGAGACTCCGGTATTCAGACCAACGATATAATCTTCAATCGCCTGACACACCTTCTTCGTTTTGCTGATGATATTGACATAATAGGTAGGTCTGAACGGGCTCTCAGAGAAGCGTTTATAGGCCTTGAAGCAGCTGCAAGACCACTTGGTCTAGAAGTCAATGAGAGGAAAACTAAGTATATGAGAGTTGGTGGTGAGGTGGATCTGAACTCTCCATTTGAGGTAGGTTCTTGACATGGCTCAAGAAATACAAAGAAGGATCACAGCTGCCAATAGATGTGTCTTTGGACTTGGCCGACACTTAAGAAGTAGGTACCTCTCAAAGAAGACCAAGCTGATCATATACAAGACTCTTGTTCGGCCTGTTTTGACATATGGCTCAGAGGCTTGGACGATGACTAAAAACGATGAGATGAAGCTGAGTGTGTTTGAGCGAGGAGTCCTCAGAAGGATTTATGGTCCAGTAAAGGAGGGTGATGTCTGGAGGAAAAGAAAAAATAGGGAGCTCAGTTCTCTCTATACAGACATCGACGTAGTCACGTATATTAAACTGGCCAGACTAAGGTGGGCAGGGCATGTAGCCAGAATGAGCACCGTTGAAATACCAAAGAAAATAATGATGGAGGAGCTGTATCTCGTAAGACGGGTAGGAAGGCCGAGGACGAGATGGTTGGACAATGTGGCCTATGATGCGAGAACCCTGCTTGGTGTACGGAACTGGAGAGCTGCAGCAGAAGACAGAGCCAACTGGCGGAGGCTCTTGGAGGAGGCCCAGTCTCGGTAACGGGATGTCGTGCCACATATGATGATGATGAAGCAATTGAGCGCTTTCCTCAATAAGGGCTGCATACTGCTATTGATGACTGGCCATGGAGATAAAAAAAAAAAAAAGGGAGTCAAGACAAAAAGGGTAATATTTTGAGTTTTTTTTTTTGTTTTACTCTTTATAGGTGCTAGCATTGGGTAGTTACTCAGCAAGTGTATTCATGTCATTATATCTATTATGTCCAAATTTTCTAAGTGTATTTATGTAATATAGTTGTAAATGTCATTAAGAAAAAAAAAACTCTTAATAGAAATATATATTATTTTCTAATAAGATTTTTTTTTTTAAATACTTTTTCTGTTGAAATCTGTATATATCTCCTTGTAACAATATTTATGACAGGACTAGGTATATGAAAAAAAAATCGTTTGTGCTGCAGCCCCCAAAATTAAATCCTGAATCCACTAATGCTTGTTTTGTCTATCTTTCTTTTAACTTTTCAGTTGCCTAAGCACATTAAAATCTCTGGATTATATTTTTTTGTTATTATAAAAATAACACAGGAAAAATATTTATTTTTTATATTTTTTTTTTTTTTTTTTTTTTTTGGATGTTTAGAATAATAGAAGTAAAAAATATGAAATTCCAGTCTATCTAATTAATGTTTTATATTTTACTAGATTTGCTTCTTTAAATTTCTCTGACAAAATATAATAGCAAATTTCTTTTTAAAATTATTAAAATGATTATGCTTTTATCTGGGACTCAATCTTTGTGATAAAAATTAAGGTATTAAATTTTTTACTTCTTTTAAAATAAGATTATTATTATTATTTAAAAAATTGTTAGAAAACTGACACTAGAATCAAAATATCATACTTCTATATCAAAATATACAGTCTAAATTTAATCACTTCCAGATTTTAATTACTAATGATTTCTTAATATAGATGTTTCTGCACTAGAACATTTTTGTTTAATACTCTAGCATTAAATTTAAATTTCTCTTTAATAGCTATTATTTTAGGAAAACATCAACATTAGATTATTGAAATTAAATATATATTTGTGTTTAGAGAGACCATCTTAACTGTGATCCTACTTTCGAACTGGAAGAGATGATTGTGGAAGCCAAACCTCTACACAAGAAAAAGAAGCGGCTAGCAAAACAGAGATCTTTAAAGGGATCAAGCAGTGTTGAAACTCCTGTTAGTATCTGTAATCCACACAACGACATACAATAACACTTATCATTTCGCTTATTTTCATCCTTTTTTTCTTAGAAATAGTCATATTCAGCAAATTTGATTAATAAATTACTTTATATTCAATTATAATTTATATTTATGTGCATACTTATTAATAAACAGATCAAAGGTTTTGCATACATATTTAAAAAAAAAAAAAAATATATATATATATATATATATATATATATATATATATATATATATTTATTTATACTGATAACTTTGATTCTTATTTGATTGTTTAAAAAAATATTGACTCTTGTTACAATTACTACTTAAGTTGTCAAGATATCAATATAAAATTAAATACATTTTTTTGTTTTGATAATAATTAAGCCACTTAAAATTTGTATTATCTATCTCAGAAGCTTACTAAATCATTAAATGTTTTATTTACCTGTGAATATTTTCTATTTGATTTGAAATAATAGCAGTTAACAGGTTTTCATTTCTTTTTTTTTTTATTTTAATGTTTTACTCAAATTAATAGTTCACTTTAATTGAACAGTTCACCTCACTCTTAATATAATCTGCTTTTTTAGCTTGGTTGGGTGCATTCTGGCTCAATATTAGTGTATTTTCTAAGGCTGTAGACTGAATATAACAAATACCCTACTAGGAAAATATGATAAATAAGAAATCAGAATCCACTCCAGTAAGCTAAAAAAGTATATTCTATTTTGGCCTGTGTTAATTTAATTAATTTTAAATTATGTTAATTTAAAATAATATGTTCTAAGAATAATCTAAAATAATTACATGGCAAAAGAAAGTAATATTAACTACTAGCATTGTAAGTTATACTATATAAAATTAATTATAATAATCTAAATTACAATAAATATGTCCTAATGTATAGGAATCTGGGATCGAGGGACAGCTGGCTGACTTTGTGCCATATAATAGAGAAAAGGAGCTTATGAAGAGGGAGATGGAAATAAAAGAGAATGAATGGGAGCAAGAATTGATCGAAGCGATGAATGCATCCTGCACAGAGTCAGTTTTCGCATCGTCCATAATAACTACCTAGCACACCTTATCGCACATATTATAGCATGTTTTATTCAAATCAAAACCTGTTTTAAATATTATATTTTTGATAGTTAGAACCAGTCTTGCCTTTTGTACTATGAATAAGTCATATTTATTGATTTTGTTGATGGTTTAGGAATCAACAGTTCTTCCTTATTTTATCTAATTTCATGCATGTAAAGGATTGTGTGTTTTTAATTTCAATAATTAGAGAAGGTTGACCCATTAAGTTGTATGAATATCCTTATCCTTAGTTACTTCCTGTCAATTCTTAATAATTGTAATTATTAAGAATAGAAAGTTACCTGCATGGTGAATGAACAGAACTGACATAGAGTGTTGTGCAGGAGCAGTGGACAAGGACTCCAGGTGCCAAAGAACAGTGAACGCAGAAGGAGCTCATGCAAACTGACCGTGTCCCAAACCAGTGTTCAAACAAGGCTGGCAGCCACGGTCTCTCGAGGACCGTCCAATCAAAACAGTAGTTGTTCCTCTGCAGCCAACCTCCACAGTACTGACTCAGTCTTCTTGCCCAGATCAGAAACCCCTCAAGAAGAAGCAAGACCTCTTCCAAATGTCATCAATGTCCCCTCAATACAGATCTTTGACAATGCGTGAAATTATTATGTAAATATTGAAAACTGGTGTGCATTTGTATATCAGGTATAGTTATTTTTATAATGATGGCTAAGAATATGGTCTCTTTATATATATATAATATACATATGGTCTGTTTATGAATATTTCCAACACTATTTTCTCATTGTAAAGATCTAGTCATTTTTATCTGAATGCTTTCTAGTCATTTTTCACTTACTTTTTGTTACAGTATCTTCTATTGGCACATTCCATTCACAACTGTTTAATATTTGTATAGTCACAGTCATTTTTTTATTTATGTATATATATTTTATGAAAATAAATCCCAATAAACTGTATAGAAATTTCTTTGAAGTTATTTCCTTATCTTGCCATGTGACTCAATATTAGATTTAAATAATAAATTGTTTTGCAAGTGAAGATGGCAATCATAATTTCCTCATGAATGTTGTATATTTTTCTATTTATCACATTCCTTTACATTGTTTAATGGTTCTGGAAATGTTTTCCCATCATTAGAAACATATTCATTATTGTTAGATCCTTTTCATTTTTTGTTGTGTTCTGTTTGTCATTTGTTTTTTTTTGTTTTTTTTAATTTGTTTATTACATTTTTGTAATTAAATATATTCAGAGAAAACATCTTGACCAACAATGAATGTGTTTAACAAAAAAAAAAAAAGGAAATGAATCTAACAACAGTGAATATGCTTCTGACGAAGAGAAAACATTTTGTAATACAAAAAAGAAATGTTAACCAATGTAAATAAATGTGATAAATAAAATATATACAACAGTCACTAGGAAGTTGTAATTGTCACTTTCTCACCTATATATCTGACCTGTACAAGATATTTCTCAGCAAAAGAAATAATAAGTAGAAAAAAAAATAAAATAAATTGGTATGTTTTATTAACCTCTCATAACCAGCATTTTCAAATGTAAAAAATAAAATCCTTAAATTATAAGTGGCTCAATGATTAGATACAAGAGATTGGCACTTTACTTTTCACATTTTGAAGGTACAGAAAAAAAACCTCACCTTAGATAGCTGACTATTAATATCCTAAAAAATACCAATTATAATTTTTAAAAAAGGAGGCAAATTTTAAATAAATCAAAGGATTATTGTATTTTTGCATTATGTTTGCCAATATTTTCAATAATGGATTAAGTAGAGAAAAATTATCCACTATATTTTTCTTTGGTTGTTCAAGCATTCTTCTAAGATAAACAATTAAAATAAACGTACACAATCGAAACTGGTAAAAAGACACTCAGTCAAAAACATTCTTTTTTTATTTCAATTTTTATATAAAACAAACCTAAAATTAAGTGATTTCCTTATCTTGTGATATACAGTACCTTGACTGTATGATTTATCACACTTTATATGTATTTAGAAAAATACACAGTTCTCAAAATCAATGCCAAAACAAATTAAAACTGATTTCAAATATTGTTACATCAGTTACAATTATCGTTACATTATACATATAGTATATCTTATGAACATGGATTTTGAGCAAGCACTCTTTTTCCAATGACTGCTTCAATTAATATATATTTTCTTGTTCTATAAATTGAACCATCATTTTAACACAGCATTGGCTTGAGCTGTAAAGCATTATACAGGTTTATTGTTTTACCTAGTCATGTCACAAATATTGTTACGAGGACATATATACTTATTTCAACAGAAAAATTATATTTTTCAAAAATTAAAATGTAGAACTATAGAGAGCAAAACAAAATATAAATTACTTAGAATCTTCCCATTTTGCCTTGAAACTGGCATTTAATCTCCTTGGGCAGTCATCAATAGCAGCACACAGCACTTCTCGAAGAAAGTGTTCAACTGCACGGACCAGAGATGAGGCTTTCCAAGTCATGTTGTGTTCTGTGGCATGCCATCCTCTCCAGTTCGGACCAAAGCCAATAATCTATTGGGTTGAGATCAGGACTTCCTGAGGTCCGATCCAAGGCATAGATGAACTCTAGAATGTTCTTTTGCATCCATCCACTGCTGAGTTGACCTGGTCTTGTGAGCTGGAGCGGAATCCTACTGGAAACCCCAATGACTTCCAACAAACAGACTATTATTTAGAGGCTTGACAACAGGTTCCAAAATATCATCCTGATAGTTTTTGGTGGCTGTTTTAATTCCTTTTTCACAAAAATAAAGCTTTTGGTGCCATCAAAGCAAACTCCCCACGAAACCATCACTGAGGAAGGATAATGACTTTCCACTCTTTCAATGACTTCCTGAGCTTCTTTAGAGCTGTGTGCATACACACGATCATTTTGGTGATTAAATTTTTGTTCAATTGTAAAAATTTTCTCATCGCTAAACAAAATCTTTCGATGAATACCATTGGTGTAACGGCCAAGGAGCAATTTGCAGCTATCCACTCTAATTTTTATTAGCCTTTGCCCTGTCTTCTTCGAAATGCATCCATACTAAGGTCACTTTTTATTATGTGAGACATTGATCTGATAGAGATTCCCATTTCACAAGACATGATTTGTTGTTTTCGGATGGGATTTCTTCTGATTTGAGCAGCCATTGATGTCACAGCATTTGCCCGTTTTCACAGTGCGGGGACAGTCAGGTCGAGGTCTGTCACATACAGATACGGCTGATACCCAACAATTTAAAAGTGTTGAAAATCTCTGACTTACATTTTCCAACTTTGTGTAAGGTGATCACAGCTATTCGGTTTTCTTTATCACTCCACTCCATGTTAACTGAGCGAAAGAAAAATAAAACTAATTAGGATCATTATCCTGACATGTAAAGAAAATAACCTGATAGAGTAAAGGATTATGCAAGTTCCAGGATGCAAAGTTCAACTTTTGTAACAGTATTTATGGCAGAACTAGGTAATTACAGGAGCAAAAATGTGCTTTAAGTAGAACAAAATAACCAATTATGAAAATAACAAAATTAACTTTAAAAACTTTGTACCAAAAGTATATTATAGAGAAAAAAGAACTACATTTACAAATATGGAACAACAGAAGGAATAAAGCTTATTCAATTTTAAAATAATTTACTTATAATATTGAAATTTATTGTTTTGGTTTGCAATTATGGTATTAACTTCCAATTTGGCTTCGTTGGCTTTCTTTTTCTAACCAATCCTCCTCATTATCTTTGAATATTATTTCATGAATTTCCTCCTGATTATCTTCTACAATCAATTCATTTGGGCCCATAGTTGAAAATATATATGGAACACAATAAAATACAGAATTAAATAAAAATAATAATGGATAATAATGTATCTACAGGTGGCATTTGTGGCTTTTAAAAAAACAATATTTTGTTTCATCTTGCCAATGATTTGTCCTCAGAAATAAAATTAAAATATTGGACTCTCCTGCAGCTTTTATCATTCTCTCTCAGAGATCAGGTAAGTTACTAAAAGACAGACAACCAGGAATTTAGAGCTCTCTGTAATTTACAAAAGTGTGTTGTCTATTCATTAATACAACCAACAACATCTTTTATGGATAAATGACAATATTACAGTAAAGGGGCCATATTAATTTAGATGTTGTAACAACACAGGTAACATGATCAATGTTTTGGTGCTCTGCCCCATCATCAGGAATTCTTTCAATATTATATTGTAGCATACCTGTTAATTTTCCATTAAAACTTATGTTATCACATTGTCTCATATTTTGTTCCATTTTAATAAATTATTGTTTATTAGGAAAATACTCGTAGATAAACAAAAACAAACTCATAGATAACTGCTTGTAGAAAATTAGCAGATGTTCAATCATGGAATATGGGGAGAATTCCTGTTGATGGAGTAAATTCCAAAATGTTAAAAATATAAGAAGTAAAAACAAAAAATTAAAGAAATGATAAAATAATTACATCAGAAAGAAAACATTCACAAACTAAAAAGCAAAAAATCTGATTGTGCAACAATATTTCATCAATTAAATATTACACAAATATATCTTTCTTCAGAACATCTTAAACATAAACTTTTTCTGATTTTTGATCTCAAGATAAATAAAAATCATTTTAAAAACCTTCTGGGAAAGATATACCAATTAGGCTAAGTAAATTTATATAGTAATACATGTTTTGTTTATTCAAAGCCACTCCTCCGGATTTGTTGTTTTTCTGATACTGTTGAATTAATAGTACCAAAGAAGCATGGATATATTTCCTATAAATATTCACAATTTATTATTATCTATGTTGTTGTTTTTTTGTTTCCTATAATGTATTTTTTATTATTTATCAATTTTTATTATTTGTGTATTTTTTTTATTGTCATTTTTGGGTTTTTTCTTTATCTTGTTTTATTTTATTTTGAATGTATTTATTCTTTTTTCTTCTTATTTAATTCTGTGATCTATTATCAAACTAATTATTGTTTTTCTTTGCTTATTTATTTATTTGTTTGCCTCCCTCCTCTGCCTATTAGGTTATATAGGTGTTTACAGTAGTGGGATGTTATGCATGACTGTACATGGGATGTTATACTGCAAGTAAAACAGTATACATATTTCATTGGTGAACTCTTGTCAATGGTGAATGGCCTCTTACGGCAGTCTTCTCAGCGGTGGTTCTCTTCTCCTGGCTCCAAGATTGAAGTGGGATGGGCCCACGGCCTCCTTCCAACGATAAATGAATTTCTTGAACTGTGGGAAGTTCTTCTTACTCACCAGCTGAGAAAATTGATCCTCAGTCAGGACGTAAATTCTCGTGGTTCTCATCTTGTTGCATAATGTATTCCTTCAAATGCAGTGCAGATCGTGACCACGTGCTTGACAGTCTTCAGAACCCCAAAAGTGGGACATTGTGGTTCTATGTCCTGGCCAATGCTATATAGCTTAGCTCGAAAACCATAATGCCCCTTAAGAAATTGTGAAACCTGATAGACCAGGAGGACCCATTGTGCATCTAGCCAACATTGTACAGTGGGAAAGTATTTCTTAAGAGAACTCTCTTTCAGAGTTGCCACCCACTGACGGCTCCATTCCTCAATTTTATCCTCCCGGATTATCTTCTTCTATTTGTTGTGGTTTTCCATAATCCTCATCCGTAGTTATTCTGGAACTCCTTCCAAGACTTCTTTCTTGAACTTTTGCTTAGCCACATCTTCTCCCAGGAGGTCAAGAGGTACGCTAAGACCTGCACTGCTTCATGTGACGTCCTAAATGCTCTGGTGACACTCAACAGGGCCATCCTCTGGATCGACGCCAACTGTTTTTCTATGCTGAGAATAAGTTATAATAATTTTTCCTCAATAGCATTTTGACAAGAATGTTTTTATACTTATAAGTTACATTTCGAGATCAATAGCATCATCTTCTGATGATTTAACTACAAAAAAACAATATTCCAATATGACACTTAATTTGAGTCTTGTATTTCAATACACATCTATTTCTCATAATTTCATAAAAAAAAATACATAAAATTAAGTTTAGATAACAAATGAAAGCAAACGTTATTTCGTTGTCACCTGAATAACTTTTATTAAAGAATTATTGAGGAAGAATTACAACCACTTATTCTCTAATAAATAAACAACAACTCTTCTTGTAATATACTTATTATTTTTCTTTTTATTCCATCTCTATATTGTACGTTTATTAATATTTGTTTATTGTATTATTATTATTTTTTATTT